AACTTCCAGAAATAAGATGGCTGGTTAAAACCTACCTTTGAAAAGCTCTGATGAACCTGCCCGTGGAGAAATTAACACACTTAACTTCACCTCATATCAATTGAGCAATAAATGCCTATTTATCGCTTATTACTTCATTTATTTTGGATGTACAGTGTGCTTCGTAACTAATTATAATTATTATAATATATCAGTAAATGTGTAAGATACTATACCTGAGTGATTACTCCGAACTTTCTAAAAAGCTACAAAGTTAACTTTCTAATAAGCTACGTTGTAGCTGCTACAACGACAACTAATCTTTCGTTTTACTCCCTACTGTACTAGTTTACTCGTCAATCCAGGTATATGACTATGAGAATGGTCTTGAAACTCTGAATTTAAGAGGGAAGCAGTTTTGGGGACGGGGAGATTGAAGCGGGTGGGCGACAAATGACCCCCCCCCCCCCCTATTGTAAGCCCCCGGCTTACAATTGACCCCCCATGCAATTACACTGAGTCAATTGATCTCAGTATAATAACATGGGGGTCAAGTGTCAGGGGGTTAATTGTCGTACTAAGCCCTAGATTGTACCTGCTAATGAGGTGAATATCCCAGATCATAGCTTTACAGGTAGGCCTGTATAATAGAACCCTGATGTTAAAGCGGACATCACCTTCCCCTCCCTAATGTCTGATTGAAAGATTCCTTTCTTAATGTACGAATAAGAAAACAAGAATTTTTACTAGTACTATCTTTGTATCTTTAATACACTATCTACTTATTGACTAGCTAGGCTTGCTAAAATTCATCGGCAAATTACCGCTGCTCGAGTTACCTAGCCAGGCCCATTTCAGTTTTGAGTACTGGAGTCGGTTATCTACAAAGTAGAGTCAAAGCCTAGCTTTTTTGTAACTGGCAAGTGCTTTTCCGGATTCAATTTTCAAATAGTCGTGTATTTTCAGATTATTCTTCATTATGTCCTCAATCCTGAGCACTGGGACTACTTAAGTTTTTGCTACTATCTGAATTATTTGCTCAAGCTACTGCCACTGACTCGCTAGGTACAAAGGTTTATTTCCTATTTATCATGAAAAAATTTGTGTGTTGGGCTAAAGTTTACTTGACGTCCACGCAGGTTTGAACTCCCGACCTACTGCAGAGCTAGCCAATCGCCTAGCCGCTGAGCTACTCGGGTGATGCTCTATTAAAATTTTCGATGTACATATTTATCGCATACAATCCTCTATTTTGAGTTTGTCATAATTGTAATCGGGAAGTGGGAACATTAACAACTCTTCTGCATTTAATTGGAACTGTCTGTACTGTGTACACGATAAAACACATAAGATAAATACAAAGATTGTGTACACTACTGTGCTTATATGGAAAACCCAACTAGACTATAATATATCTTCAGAGTTTCAGGATCATTCTCACATATACTCATAGTTAATAGTTAATAGCACTATGTTTACAGTATGCACTGAAGGGGTATCCTAGGAAGTTTCTTGAACTTTTAACAGGTACCCATCCTCATTTAACCCTCAATTAAGTTTCCTATCATTCGGCTGAGTCGACCGAGGAGATCGCATAGATCCAATGGATCCTTAGTTACTCCCTAGACTAGGTGACACTGGGATTCAAACTCATATACCTGGATTGACGAGTAATCCAGTACAGTAGGGAGTAAAACGAGAGACTAGTTGTCGTTGTAACTTATTAGAAAGTTAACTTTGTAGCTTTTCAGAAGTGGCATAAGGAGGGAGGGGGATGATGTCCGCTATAACATCGGGGCCCCCATTATACAGTCCTACCTGTAAAGATATGATCTAGGATACTCACTTCATTAGCAGGCACATAGAGATTTTAGACAAATTATATTGACTTATTGACATTCCTACTATACCTAGTAATATTGTATTTATTATATTCTTTGAAAGAAATAAAAAGATGTAATATATCCATATTGTATATTCTTGTGGTTATTGTATAAATTCTATCTAAATATTTTTCGCTGTCTCAGGTTTTCTTAAATTTTGTCTCAGGATTTTTTGCTGTCTCAGGTTTTCTTAAATTTTGTCTCAGAATTTTTCGCTGTCTCGGGATTTCTTAAATTTTGTCTTAGGTTTTTTCGCGCGTCTCAGGATTTCTTAAATTTTGTCTCAGGTTTTTTCGCTGTCTCGGGATTTCTTAAATTTTGTCTCGGGATTTTTCGCTGTCTTGGGATTTCTTAAATTTTGTCTCAGGATTTTTCGCTGTCTTAGGTTATTTTGACATCTCAGGTTCGCTTAAATTTTGTCTCAGCTTTTTTTGCAGTCTTAGCTTTTCTTAAGCAGTTTGTCTTATGAATTTTTGCAAATCCAATCCTAAGATCCGAGGCTGGGGGAGGCCTGTCTAAAACAAGATACAATCTTAATATTTAAACTCCCGATAAACGAGGAGATGAGAAGTCTGTAACTCGCGATGGTTATAGTGACTGTACGAAGCACTGACAGTGAACTCCAGTGAGCTGTAATTCCCCATGTGATGGCTCAGTCAGTTATAAACAAGAAAGGTGGAAGGCTGATGGAGTATTTAAACAAGTCTTAGACTTAGTGAATTGTACTAAATAAAACGCTCTCGTAACGATAGAAAACTAATAAATCAAGAAGAGCACCAAATCTCGACTAATCCTCGGTGACAATTTCAGAAGTGTCTTATCTCCCAAAAACCTTATCTCTTAAAAAAGGGCTCGTAAAATCTGATAAATATAAAAAAGGCCGAAAAACTTTGGTTCACATATAAAATAGATGCATGAGATAAAATTAAAATTAAGAAGTGGCAAAAAAACGGTGAATTAAAATATTAAAATGTAAAATCAAAGCCTAGCAATATTGTGGATCTACTAAACTAGTTAACTACACCAAACACGGCAGCAAACAATCAACTTTCAAAATAAAGAGACAACAGCGGGTCGCACAACGCCTCAGGGTCTCAGAGCACTGAATACGTTGGCACACGCCGTGTATGCTTGAAGATGATTCGTTCTGGTGACTCGTATGCAGAGGTCAGCATCAGTAGGGAGACCCTTTTTTACATACTTGGACTCTACAGCATCCCAGCTCCTATTATTAACATGCCTCTTCTCTCTGATTCATCTCAGTCAAGAGTTCTATGTTAAATTGTGTATATTCTGATCAATCACGGGAGACAAAGTAAAACAAGTTGTAATTTGGGTTAGTAATTAAATTGGTAACAATTGGTTAAATGGGTTAGTAAATGAATTGTTAACAAATTGGTAATGGGTTAGCACACTAACGCTGCACTCACTATCACTGCACGTCACTCTACACAGACCTCAAACACAACTCTCACTCACTTAACCTCGTGAGTGGTGTGGTAATGTGATTACAAACAAATCTTCCCAAAACTGTAAATCCTTCTTAATAACAGTTCAAACTTCTTATAAACTACTTCTTCTAACTTCTTCTAACTTCTTAGAAACTAATTCTTCTATCACTTCCCCAGAAGTGATGTGAACGTGTTGTGATATTCCCTTACTCACAAACACTAGATCTTCTCTTTAGGTTCTTCTGTGTGGTCCCCGTGACACACACACACTGGAACTTGACTTGTCTGGCTTTCACTCTTACAGCAGCAGACACTCACTAGAACTAAAAACAACCCTGTAAATATACTTGAAAGTATGTTAGAAAGTAGTAACCCCAAAACTACAAACCTAGGACTAAAGGAACTACTACAAAGAAACTGAAACTACTACATAGAAACCAAAATAAGCTAAACATTACACTACCTGCCCTTCAGGGTTAGCTCTCGTTCCGTTCACCTGAATCCTCTATATTTACATCCTTGTTGTATTTACATGCTAAGGGAATGAATGTGTGTGAAACAACAAAACATAACCACTCAGACATGTCTATGAATATAATAACTTAAAGGTAAAATATGATATTCTAGTCCAGAATGTAGACCGCCTCCCCAACTTTTTAAAAACTAATGGGGCAAGGAATGTGCAGAAAATGTTTGCAAAATGAACACACTGAAACGATTGTCCAGATGAGATTTTGGAGACAAGGCTCACATTTGGCCACACAACAATTGTTGACAGTGATAAAATGTTGTTACTATGGATTACACCATTTTGAAGAATGCCAAATCCCCTCTGAAAGGTCATGTTTCACAATACTGGGATTACACCAGCTGTGATTGTTCTTTAAATGTTTTGTTTTTCTGACTTAGCGGATTCCTTTGTACTATTGGATCATCAGCCAATAAGATCCAAGGCTATGCAACCCTCCCCAGGCAAAGGGCTGTCACAAGGAGCAGAAAAATATTGGTGTACTTGTGTAAGATCTATTTTTCAGGTTCCACGAGACTTCTCTCTTCAGTGTCATGGTCATTTGCAAGAAAGCTGGGTATTCAACTTGGTAGAAGATATTAGATAGCTGCAAGGTCTGCACCAATTGAAATATCTGATAACTTAATAGATCTTAATAGATCAGGTGACCATCAGGTCAGCTGACCATAAAGTCAATACTACTTGTAGAGACCCAGTTAGGCTTGTCATCAAATGAACACTTCGTCAGGCTGTATAACTAAATTGGGTTTTAAATGGGTAACCAGTCTTCCAAGAAGTGGTCCAGCGTTGTAGTGCCTGGTCCAGTTAGATATGGATTCTAATCAGTCATTTTTGAAGCTATAAATTTTCACTATTTCTATTCAGCATAAAAACCTTACATCAAATTGAGTTTTATCTAGTTTTATCTAGAAGTTTTATGTGATCAAATAGTTATACTGTCATTTAACTTTACATTTGTAAACTGTATACAATTCCACCAATATCACGGTAGCTCTAATTTATAGGTCGAAACTGTAAAATGTATGTAGAAAACTTTCGACGAGATTACTTCTCCCATTATTACAAAATTGTATTCAAACATACCATGTATTGTACAGATTTGTCGATTATGATTTTATTAATTGATTTTATTGATTTTTATTGATTTCCTAATGTTATCTCTTATTTAGCCACTAGAGGTCCCAAGTGGCAAGATGTCTATGAGTCCTGAATAGTAAGTACTTTACTCTTATATGGCACCGTTTTCATTACATTTTATGCCCAAATCACACTTGAGGTCCTGAGGACTTGTATTGGACAATTGTACCCACATAATATTATGTTAATTTTCTAATTGCTACTGATCAATGGGTATCTTTTATTGATTTGCCATGAAGGTAGGTATTGTTTTAAAATTAATTTACTAACCTATTTCTTTTTCAGTGATTATCTTTTTAAGTTATTATTGATAGGAGACTCTGGTGTTGGTAAATCTTGCCTGCTTCTTAGATTTGCGGTAAGTATTTAAGTTTTTTACCTTCTAGGCTGATTCGTTGGCCGTTTTTAAGTAGTTTAATTTATGATGTGATTGAATCAAAACTAAATTTAAGAAAATGTATTCTTTGCAAAACTTATCCAGTCGCCATGAAGTGGTATCTAGACAATTCGCTGAAAGAAAATATTAATTATCCTAAGATCTAGAAGATGGACAGGACGTTTCTGTGTATTTTACCCTATGATCAGCTGCTGCTTACCAGTGTATAATTTTCTATTCGACATCGCAAAATCAGCCCAGATGCAGAACCAATGACCAGTTTATTGAGACATGTCAACTCTGGCTCATCCCTGGCTCGCAGCCCAGTGAAATAAAGTAATAAGTCAGTCAGGATGTGTCATGTTGAGTTAGCCATTGAATATGGTCATACAGACCTTGTTTGATTTGATGTGTGACTGAGATTGTCCGCTCAACACACAATACTGACCTATCTTGTCAAAACAAACATGCATCATATCCTATCAAAACCACAATCCTTCAAGAAAATAGCTGTTGAAACTTAGACAAGTTACGAAATGAACATATTATGGATATTGTGTCATCCTGCCTCAAAATGTTCTATTCCTGTACACCCTGCTACAAATTGTTTACGTTCCTGAGCTGTGGACTGTGGTGGTACAATGCAATGTAAGCTAGGATTAGGGTTGACCCACTGCACTTTGAGCACAGAAATTTTGAACAACATTTCTGGGCTCGAATTACCCTAATCTTATTATTAGTTGAAGCATGTGGTATTAAGAAGAGAGACAGAAGTGCGGGGGTCCATTTACCCAAGAAATGGTAGTTTAATGCTATGGCAAGATGGCCATAATAATCTCTCGTTTCTACTCTCTCCTTCCCCTACCGTACTTAGCACATTGTGCTCTCATTAATTCTAAAGAAAGTAAAACACATACACAAACCTGAATTATCCCTGAATAGTGAATATGATTTATAACATAGCTTTATAACATAGCTTTATGATATTATAGCTTTATAATATAGTGTAAACATATCAAACATCCGTGTACTTGTCCATAGCTTACTCGGTCTTTGGTAGTTGTACCACCTATAACCTAACTGTGTACTGTAACCTATAAACTAACTGTAACCTATAACCTAATTGTGTACTGCCTTCCTTATGTACAGAGAATAGCATGATTTGGCTCATATTGTAAAGCAATCAAACGACACCCACACGTCTTTCGTAGGATACTTTTATCATTGAATTGAATATAATTCATACTGAAGATTATTCATACTGTGACATAATAAAACAATGCCAACAATCCAACCACAATTCAAACTGTCTGTATTGTGCAAAATATGCACACCAATCTGCTCGCTGTACGATATATTTTAAACGATTCGCTTTGTCAACGTGCGATTGTCCATCCAGAACACATTTTTAATAAAGTTACCACACGATAATTAATTTAATAACTCGTTTCCATAAGAATTAGTGAATTTGCGACCTTTCACTTGGGTACCACTGAAAGGATAAAATGGGGCTTTTGGAAAAACTCTCTTTTGATTTGAGGGGAACAAAAGAACGTAAGTTGACTTCAGATTCCGAAGTAAACGAAGCTCATCTGACCTGGACAATACCTGTGTTAAATCTGTATTATGAAACAATTTGGTGAGACCAGAAACAGCATTGAATAATAAATTGTCAATTCCTATAAAACTATAAAAATAAGCTGTAATTCTATCTATTTCGTTAATCATAAGTTAACAATACTGTGCACCATAATTAACGTCCTAGCATGGCACGAGCTCGTCCTTTGCATCCACACTCTCAACAATTGGGAGTATGGAACATTGTAGCGCAATTAGTTGAAGTTTAAACGTGGATTGAGTTTAGTTTTTTTCAAAAGGTACAATTCTATTAGTGACCATATGGTAGCGCAGCACACAATTCATTGTGCACCAAATGGCAGAGAAACAATAACCAGTAACCACATGATGAATTCTCATAATGGTGACGATTACTCTCATATGATAATGTAACACTACACTTGTACACATTTTCGGATGTGTTAATACACTCCTCCTTCTCCAGTGTATTTATATATTCACTGCTATTATCACCCTGGGGAGGCAGTACATCGATGATAATAATGTTGGATATCTGATGTAATAGAGCTGTCACGTGTTATAACCACGTGTACTTGTTCCCTTACCTTATAGGATGTGGCCACGGCCACGTAGTTATATGACGTCACAGTGTAGTTATATGACGTCACAGTGTAGTCACATATAATCACCAGAGAATGTCGCAGTAGAATTAATCAAGTCGTTTATGTAGAGTCCGGATACATTTTAAGAATAATGTGAGTCACGCACTTAATATGACTACTTTGATCTTTCTTCCTATCTGCCCGATCTGCCACAGCAATGAGAGACACTAACTAACGGTTAAAATAAAAATGTGTCGCCGAAATTTTATAAATTATTAATTTATGTATATAAGTTGACACCCTGTTGACCAAACACAAGCGTTCACATTTACATTAAATAATGTATTCGTGGTTTTATTAATCTTACTCTTTCAGGACGATACATACACAGAAAGTTATATCAGTACTATTGGAGTTGATTTTGTAAGTTTTCTTGATTTACTTGTTCTAGATAATATAATAGGGAGGGGTTTCATATATATTCTGACACGTGACAGCGTTTAACTAATCAGCAACTCCTTAAAACGTCCAATTCTACGTGTCAAAACTGGTGCAGTAAAACCCAGATTATATCTTTATATATCACGCCCCGATTTACCGCAAACCCCGATTTACCGCAAACCCCGATTTACCGCAGCCATTTCCTTTCCCAAAATAACAAATAAACTAGATTGGAGACTAGAGCTAGGATCTGACTAAGTGATTAAGAATCAATCAACTTTATCTCCAGGGCCTGACCCTATTTTTGAAGAAAAAAAAGAAAAAAATTAGTATTTATACTCTGCCGTACCTGACGTAAATACATATTGCACATTTAGGAAGATGGAGCAATATCTGGTGGATATAAACTGTGGGGCCACCTTACCACAGAAACTTATATAATTAAGTGGGGTCTCAATCCGTCCCCAGATTCATATTGTAGATCAAAGCAACACATAATTGTCAAATTCGATTCTGTGGCAATTTTGGGGCGTGTTTAAAAACAAGATAACAAGAATGATTCTGTAGAGCATGATTTGATTAAATGGTCTACGTTTCATTATATTTGACTACTTTAATTTAAAGATATACCCAATCTCTGATCAAAATTCTCTGAATTTTCTCGACTCCACAATCTACTAAACTCTAAACAGCTCGAACAGTATGATGAAAAACCTTATTTAATTGATAACTCAAGTGTCGAGGAGTGATGAAATTTTCAGATCAGTATCTATGGAATAGAAATCTTGAGATAATGTAATATCTTGAGATAATGTTTTTATTTAGGTAGTGGTTGTATGTGTGTCTTAGTTTTCAATTTCCGAGGAAACCCTGGCCATGGGGAGGGTTACATAGAAATTTCCAGAAAAATTTTTCCAACCCCGACTCAAAAGTTATAAGAAATTGCTCACCCTCTATTCGGTATGGTAGAATAGCAACCTTCCCAATATAGATATGCCCTCAATCTAATGTGCTAATATTCTGTATCTGTTTCATCGCTTTATTGTTCTCCACTATGTGTGTGTAAACATCTATTGGTAGACTTGTTGCTTCTTTAGACAAAGTTACACATACTACATACAACATAGCTCAAGCTAGAGCTTTTATCGTAATTTGTAGACTATTTTATAACATTCTTTTCTGATCAATTAACATCCAATTAACCTCTAATTAATTCCCAAAATCAACCTCTAATTAATTCCCAATTAACCTCTAATTAATTCCCAATTAACCTCTAACTGTTCAACAGAAAATAAGGACGATAGAGCAGGATGGTAAGACGATAAAGCTTCAGATTTGGGATACAGCTGGTCAGGAAAGGTTCAGAACTATTACTTCCTCTTATTACAGGGGAGCACATGGCATTATCATCGTATATGACGTCACTGATAAGGTTTGTCCCGTGTGGCTTCTAGTATATATTACGTAATTCTGTTGAGTCACGCACATGTTTTTAAGAAAACAAACCGGGCCCTGGCTTATTCTTCTGTTCGGCCTCCGAAAATTTACGATCTACATTCCTAAGCTATATTATGACAGCGAGTTTGGAATGTTATTGTTAATGTAAACGATTATATGTTTTGACTACACAGTGACTCACTGTTGTTTGACACGTCACATAATGACATCGGTCAATTAGATAATATATTCGGAAATGTCGTGAGAGTTGTGACATATCCTGGCAGATATCCAAGTCTGTTAACACATTACTCAATCTAATTGCATAATGTGCGGTAAATATGTGGTTTGAATACATATTTTAACAATGAAACTACAGTGTAAGTTGTTTCGCACATCAGAACAGTGACTAAATTATATTCGAGAAATAAAAACCTCTGGTACTATGTTAAAGTTAAATAATTTGATACCTCATACCATATTTAACTTTGTAGTATTGACATTGTCCATTAGTTATAATCAAGTTAAATAATTAGGCAATCGATTGTTAACTGTTAATAAATTGTCCAATGTAAGGCTAATTGATATTTTAAACTAGAAATGATCAAAACATCTACATTGTGCGCCTCTTCCACTTACCACTATCACGTGTGAGACACAGCTAAAAATAGAGATATAAAACTAATACTGGCTCTCACAGCTCTATGTAAAAATTTTAAAAACACACAAGTAATAAAGAACACTTATAATAATCATTAATAACCCTGAAGAGCAATTCAAATATCCAAGATTGTCTATAACCGTGTAGAATATGTTGAATATTTATTATATCTTTTAGCAGGTTAACTGTTAATAAATTGATACGACGCATTTGTAGATCGTGACATTTATTTAAAATATCGCTCGGCCGTTCACGTTATGTAGGAAAGTAAGCTGTGGAATTGTATGTGATTTAAAAATTCTCAGAAATGTAAAGACCAAAACGTTGTCGATATTTTTTACTCTAATTTTCTTATCTCTAAGAAGACTTATCACAACGAATATTTCACGCCATCTAAATTAATCTGTTTGTAACTTGAGATAAGTAACAGTCTCTTGTGACCCCGGCCCCGGTATGTAGTTAAAAAATGTAACTTCTTCCTAACTCCTTAGGAGTTACTCCTATAATGTGAAATTGTTTTTCTTTAGCCTACACTGTGTGTTAAATTCTTTGGAAAGTGTCCAATGTAAGGCTAATTGATATTTTTAACTAATAGTGATCAAAACATTGTGCGCCTCTTCCACCATCACGTGTGAGACACAGCTAAAAATAGAGATCATATAAAACTAATACTGGCTCTCACAGCTCTATGTAAAAGTTTAAAAACACGTGCCACACAAGTAATAAAACAGACTTATGATAATCATTAATAACCCTGAAGGGCAATGTCAAATATCCAAGATCCCCTCCCAGCGATTATTGCATGCCTTCCCTTATATTTTGTCGTTGCTCAATCTTAAAGTCACGCTGAAAAGTATTAGATCATTCCATTCGAATGCCATTACTTGTATCGAGACCTGGTCTCATATTACATGCCGCATTCATGTAATACTTTATGACGTGTACTATTTCACAGTCACGGTAAATTTTCACATCAATCTATTCTAGGAACTGTTTGTAAATGTCAATTACGGTGAAATGTGCTTGATACTTACCGACGGTGGATTGTGTATTAATAGTATACTGCATGCTCGACCAAAGCTATTTTAGCAAAAATACCAATTTCTTACAACTGTTACGAAGTCAAGTTCCAAATCAAAGTTAGGGTTGAACGTATCTTTCATAAACTAAAGGGTGTTTTATGTAATATTTCACAGTATGGGGTTAATAAAATTTGGGGAAGTTAAGGATTTCGGAGAGTGGTTAAAGAAGTGTTTATAACGAGTTTTTAATAAGTAACGTGGCTTAAGTTTAGTGGTTATTGAGAAGATGGAGTTATCTAAGAGTTCTTGTGTACGATTACAAGAACATTTGTGTGCAAAACACTGGTAACAAGCTATAATTTTTGAAACAAATTTTAAGCACTAAAATAGCGTTTAAATTACTATTTTAAAAACTATGTGTACATCATAGGGCCCTCTTTAGAAGAGGAAATGTTACATTATTATTGAATTTTCACGCTGTCAAATTATTCTATGAATACTTAATCGTTCTACAGCATACTGTATACGTTAAATATCATCTCTTCAATTAATTTAGTATCCATTAACTTGACAGTCATGAATTGTGGCCTGTCGTGATTTTACGAAAAATATGACTGTATATTTGTAATTAAATGGTTATTAAAGCTATAAGTGTGTCACCGACCTTTCGTATGGTCATTGTACCGTGACCTTCTCACGCTGACAGCTGGTCTAAGTAATTTGACTGTCAGGCCGACCAGTCTTGTTCCCGGAAGTACAGTTTTTAGCAGCGAAAATGTCGCGTGAGCGGGACATATCCGCAACATACGCCAAAGTACTAGCAGAAAATGAACGATTTTCTATACAAAGTGCTGCCCGAGAGGCGTTCACAATGCGTACGTAATGGAAGCGCGCGCAACTTATACCCGTACATGTTATCGTTACCTGACACAGATCACCTCATGATAATTCTAAATTTAGTGTCCCTGAAGTTGCATTTCACTAAATGTAATGAACCCCTCAAATCGGCTCATTTTTGATCACCTTCTTTGCAGGAGACGTTTAACAACGTGAAACAGTGGCTGCAAGAGATTGACAGGTACGCATGTGATGGTGTTAATAAACTGCTCGTTGGCAACAAATGCGATCTTACGCCCAAAAAGGTCGTCGATTACACAACAGCTAAGGTACGTGACTTTTTGTTTTTTGCAGTTTCTCTGTATATATAAAGCGATTTTGCTTCTTCGCAGTGTAATATACCTAATGGTGATCTACAGACAACAAATTATGTTTCATTGAGCTGCTGCCTGCTTCCTTATGTTAATTCCCAATTGGGAATTGGGAATTGGGAATTTTATTCTTGAATGTTATATGATACTCTGATACAGTAAGTGTACTCTGACGTGTCAGTTCTCCGCTGAAATAGGTCTACTGTTTCTGATATATGGTTTACGAAATACAGGGGATACATATTACATGCCACATGCACATGCACCGGGCACCCCCGCGTCGATATGCCACGTTGCATATTTTATTTTAAATGATAATTTTCAGGAATACGCCGATCAGCTTGAGATACCGTTTTTAGAAACTTCAGCAAAAGACGCCACGAATGTTGAAAGTGCTTTCCTTACGATGGCATCTGAAATCAAAAACAGGTTTGCTAATATGCTGCTACAATTACCAAAAATTTGTTTATTGTATGTATCCCATACTATTTACTACATATGACTATTCATTCTATGCATATTCTTCAATCCAAATTCAGCCCGTATAACTTACGAATTTGTTGAATTTTTATTGGTAGGACGCAGACGAGTAAATTCATCATGTTATTGAATATGAAATAGGCTAAACGTGTGTACTAAGCTGTTCCTGTTGTAAATACGTTTATGATTAACTGGCCTGGCCGAGAAATTTATATTTATCATAATCTGCCTTACATGGCATTAAAACTTACGATATTATTTCTGTCTAGACGACAAACATTTTCCAACAGTGAATGGTCGGCTAAATGTTCCTTTAAATTCAGGGTGGGACCTCCAGTGAGCGCCTCGACTGGTCAAAATACCGTCACAATAAACGATCAATCGAAACCAGTACAGAGCGGTCCTGGGTGTTGCTAGGAGACAGAAGATATTGCGGAGTTACCCTCACTGGTTGAGGAGGCAGTCACGTGTCCAACCCACGTGTCACGTGACCATAGTAACGCGACTCTTAAGATTACATTTTGTAGAGAATTGCTGTTACTCATGATGAGAGCAAATTCTCCAATACCGCCCCCCCCCCCCCCCCCCCCCCCCCCCCCCCTTTAGAGTTCTTATTAACAATACGAGTCATGTTTAGTTGGATTATAACCAAATGTTCCCCCTTGTGAAGCACTTTGAGGGTACTGGTGGTCGTATAGGCAGCCCATTTACCCGAGTCTAAAGTTTAGTTTATTGGATAGAAGAAACCGAGATCTTACAAAATCAAATTCCTCCTGCCAGATTTTTGAGCAACCTTCGAACATCTTTGCCTGGAATCCAGTGTGAGCCCAATTCATGCCAACTGAAGCTATTCGTTCATTGCATGTTATGCGCTTAGCAAACCTGCGAGTAATCGGGCTGGGACTAATATTTCTGATATTAACATTTGTTAAATCTCTATTACTGTTCTCTATGCGGATAATTATAAACTCTTTATAGGTATATGGGTCGCCAGGGACCCCCATGCACCCTTGATGATGATACCCCAATTAGTTATCGTAATTATTGTAAGCTCCTTTTTTATTACCGTAAAAGTGTTGAAGTATTTTAAGCAAGTATTTCGCCTTGATACCAACAATATTACCGAGTCATCAATTTTATTTTTGTCTTAACTTTGCCAGAAGTTGAGTGTAATATATCATACTCCTAATTTTGTGAAAAGTTGTATAGAGAGCCCCCCTATAAAATGAATTTAAAATAAGTAATATTCAGAAACATTATACTACGCCATATATTAATGATTTGTTTTCATTCTTGACGAATATTATGTATGTTAATCATGGGTTTTTAGTAGATATAAGCTTAACTTTAACTTTGCCTCACCATATTTTCACGCCTCCTGTCAGACCTCAGGGTGGAAACTTCCAGGCGATTTTCTAATTGCCGACAATTAACCATGATAAGATGCTATGAATTACTTATTAATTGCTCGTATAGAATTGACATAAACTTGTCAGTCAGACTGAATATGTCCTGCCTGCCCTTGTTATAAGGTGGTAATTATAGGCGAACCTGGGGCTTTGTTACAAGATTGATTAATTAGTCTAATTGGATTAATTAATTACTTGGTTAGAATGTTAAATTTGTTTGTTTTAATGTTCTGTGCGAGTGTGTTGATCAAAATTTTATAATAATACCTTGGCTCGATAATTAACTTTGTCTATCAATTCGTTATGTGAAGTTTAAAATGTGTTTCATTGTCTACACTCAATAAACTCTCCAGAATGAAATTATCTTTGATATTCTCGGACTATAAAGCTCTCATAGAAATCATAATTAAAGGACTGGATAATCCACATTATGTCAACAACCTTCCCGTCTATTCAAGATCCCGAAGGATCATCCACATGATGTAGGGGTCGTTCACATATTAGGTTGTCAATTTTAGGTCCTCCGTAATCAGTTTTACACATGATTACGAAATATGTGAACGACCCCTTATCATGAATTTTCAGGAAAAACTTACTGTGCTGCGCTCAGCCTGTCATTCCGCCGAATCTGATATGATCATATCAGATTCGGCGGAATGACAGGCTGCTTATGAACATAAATATAATAGCCGGAGGTCCCCAGGTAAGGGAAAACTCGACACTCGAGGGGAGGGCCAAGAAATGGAAAAAATATTTTCGGCTCATAATGACCAGGGTAGTAATAGAGTAATAGGTAGTGAGCACTGAGCCACGCGTGCCGACTGTTTGATTGACGATGTCAACACTTCCAGACTAGATCGTTGCTATGCGAATTAACGGAGCAACGATCTAGTCTTCGATGCGAATGGCAAAGTAAGAATGATAGTTAGCGGCGAAGTCCTCCAAGCCGACTGTAGGATGGTTTTTAGCGCTAATTTCGGCTTAACGGGTGATACTCGTAAAATATCTGTTCCATATATTGGACCGTCGACGAGTCCAACTCGGCGCGCGTCCTGGTAGGTTATAAACCTACAAATTTCGGCCAGCACAAATTATATACATAAAATCTTTGTGCTACGATTACGAAGTTGGAACTGGAAGTATTTTAGTAATTTTACCCCCCCCCCCCCCCCCCCTCCGTAATTAACCGTAGTAAGGGGTCGTTCACATATTACGTAATCAATATTTTGGCAATTTTTACCCCCACCCCCTCCGTAATGCACCGTAATCAAGACCGAACCCCCCCCCCCCCTATATTACGTAATCAAGGTTTGAAAACCCCCCCCCCCCCCCCTCGGCTGATTACGTAATATGTGAACGACCCCTAATCAAGACCCAGCCCCCTCTCCTGACAGCAATATTACGAAATCATGTTGACCATTGTTAATGATCTGGCCCGGCGCGCGCTACTTCGTAGCATGACGTGCCATCGGGAAGAAAGCGGCGCGCGCTAATTCGAAGAAATTTAGACGAGTAACATCCGTCAAGAAATTATGGCCTGCAGAACCCCTTCATTTTTAACGTTTCATGGTACACTGATCATGATTGATGATGAGCCGAAATCGAAATCATTGTTATCATGTATGATACCCGGCCAAGCACTTTTCAAACTACTTACTATTATTATATACATACTATTACTACTTACTATTATTATATACATCATATTGAAGGATGTTACTCGTCTAAATTTCTTCGAAGTAGCGCACGCCGCTTTCTTCTCGAAATGTTACGATGGCAAGTGCTACGAAGTAGCGCGCGCCGGGCCAGACCATTAACAATGGTCAAACTATTATATAGTCGGGTTGGAAACCCCCCTTACTCAGCTGATTGCGTAATATGTTAACGACCCCTTATGCATTATGATCACTACAAATAAGTGTTAAGTATTAAGTCTATCAATGCATAATTGATAATGACTACATAAACATCGGTTTGAGCTGGTATCTTATTGACGGATGTTACTTGTCTAAATTAATTTTTTCAAAGTATCGCGCGCTAGTGTCAACTGTCAATGTGCGATTTATTTCACCATATTATAGCTTGCTTATTGCTAATCTATTGCTCGCTTCTCTCACGTATACAGTATACAGTATAGGAAGCTTGAATTAAAAGAGCGCCGCGCACGCTCACAGTTACTGGGCCGCGCTCAGCCTGTAATTCCGCCAAATCTTTATTCGTATATGTTAATTTTACCAAAACCCATAATCATGGGTAGAGTGGACCGCTGTCAGTGTCTCTCTTTCCCAAACAAAAGGAAATGATATTACTTTGATTGACCGTTCTCAAATGCAAAATGATACCGAGAATGAAATCGGTCGCTCGCTTTTCCCATTCATTCACGGCTTACGAATTGTAATAAGTTTCGATTGATTACATCAATCAGATGCTGTAAAAATCTCTTTGGGTTGCGTTCGGGTCGATACCTAGTATTTCGGGTAAGGGTGGTAGTTATTAGTATTACTTATTGAATTAGCTGAAGTTTATTGAATCTTCATTGCCGAGTACAGCTGCATTTGGGTAGTTTTTCTTAATCTATTACAATTGTAAATGAATGGGAAAAGCGAGCGACCGATTTCATTCTCGGTATCATTTTGCATTTGAGAACGGTCAATCAAAGTAATATCATTTCCTTTTGTTTGGGAAAGAGAGACACTGACAGCGGTCCACTCTACCCATGATTATGGGTTTTGGTAAAATATCATCTCTTTTTGATTATAATGTCAGGGTACTTTATAAAGTCGAAATATAAACTGATATCTTCATTAATAAGGAGGAAGTTTCAACGATTTCGAAATCTATCCTTTAAAAACATTTCCTTGTGTTTAGGGAAGCATATCGGTCGATCACTGACTGAATATGCCACTTAATACTCATTCAAGTTGGCATTAAATTCATATATAATGACACTAAACTGTCGTGGCAAAGCAGAATTTGTTGGAAATCACGAATGAGCAAAATTCTCACCTTTCGCACGTGCAAACTTTGAGCAGACGTTGCGTGCGCATCCAATATTGAATCGCCGTAAATTTTTGCATGTAATTGTTTTATATATAGTTTGATAAGCATGCAAAGTTTCAAAGTATTTTAAGAAGAACTGTAATCACAACGGCACTCTAAAGTTGACAGAAAATGACGAAAACAGCAATTTTCAGTGATTTTAGCGATTTTCTATCAATTTGGGCGTGTCCCAACGTGTGCAACTTTTCGATTTTCAACTTTAAAACTAGCCTATGACACAATTTATACCTATAGGAAGCAGAACTGAGCTCCACAACCCAAGGCATGGCCCAACACCAGAGAATACTAAATCGCAAAATTGACGTTTTTATAAAATAATTCTTCAAAAAAGCACAAACTTCAATGACGAATATCTTTATGAAGGAGCAAGCTAGAAAAACTTTCCGGTAGATTTTCAGAATGCTTGAACAATTATCTAAGGTGAAAATTTCCTCAGATTTTGAATAAAATTACTCCTTAATGGTTTAAAATTAATTTTAAAAGTTATTACTTTGTCAAAAATCAAGTTTTAAAAACGGTTAACTTGATGACGTCATCAAGGGGTGTTTATGACGTCATATAATTTTTGTATACAATGTAAACTAAAGTATAAACAATTATTTGCAAGACCTGTGGTCGGAAATGGCTGTATCTTTTATACTTTTAAATCTATGGACAATTAAATACAGGCTACAATTGACTGGCAAAGCGTCTATCCCTGAATATATATATATATGTATATATGTATCACGACAATCTATCGTAAAACAGGGGTTCTAGAAAACCCACTTCCCGATGCTCCTGAAACCTGAAACTTTTTTTGCAGTCGATTTGGTCAACGTCTAAACGCCCTGAAAAATTTCAGATCTCTAACTCAATTTTAACATGGTTTTTAAGGCACCTGAATATGGCGATTTTGGGTTTTTTACCGAATTTCGTATAACAGTGCTGGCGAGTATTTTATGCAAATTTCTTAAAAATCTCAACATAACTATTTTTTATTCCTGTCATCTTTGACATCAAATTAGAATGTTTTGAACTAAAAATAAATCTGCTGAACGACTTCCGATGAGTCTTAATGCCTGAAAAACGCCTCCGGCCGGAGTGCAGTACGCTTCGCGTGCACGAAAGAGGCTTGTAACGTGTACCAAAGGGGGTATAATAGTAAAGGGGGTATAATAGTAAAGGGGGTACATAGTATACCCACAATAAATGCACCGGTCGTGCTTGCCAGCACTGTGATAAACATAATAGCCTGGGGTCCTCAGGTAAGCTCACAGGGACTGGCGTGCCAGGTAACAATTAATTCTGCATGCACATATTTTGTTCTTATTTGATCATTGATCTCATAAACCGAGTTCTAGACCGTGGATCAGTATATTAAATTTAAAACTTATTTAACATCGGGCAATTTCAAAATTGTATCATTTATATTATCAATATTTTACCGTTATGTTTTTATTTTTACATTTTAATTCGATTTAAAACTAATTATAAATGTTTTGTTATCAGTTGCCCATACCGTGCGGTGTTCAAATTTGTATGGTGTCTTCTATCGAAAAAAAGCTAAATAAATTACAATACTTATTACTTACTTGCATATCAACCTGGTAGTGGTATGGCGCTGCAACAGCCAACGCATGCAACGTTTATACCACTACCAGTTCACAGTTACGCCACTAGCTGATTCTTGATACACGGCGGCGCTCGCTTCGCGCGCGAAAAGTGGCCTGCAACGTATTAGATGTTGAGGACACGTGCAACTATGATGCCTCTCAGTGGGCTAATTTGTAATTGTAACCCCAGGGTCAGCTGTAACTTTAAATCAAGGTTTTCGGCCACTTTCCCAACTACTTTTTTAAAGTATTTTTAATACTTTCAACACTACTATATAACAAATAATTTGAGATCATGAATACGATGTAGTTACATTGAAACGTCGAGTAATCTCCTTTCCCTAATAAGAGCATTTTTACTTGTCGCAACAACCGGGATAAAGATAATTTTACCCAGAATACATTACAACAATGCGACTCATAAATAATACTCCAATCCGGATTTTACATATATATATGTAAAATCCGGATATATAGACTATGTTGACTGTGGGAATGCACGACATGCTATGGATACAATTACAGGAACGAAGTCAGCTAGGCGTGACACTGGCGATTTCCCAAAGGATTGGGACGTTTGATATTACTAGGAATATTGAATTCTTTTTTAAATGAAAACATTCTGCAGACAAAAAAGGTGAACCAATAAACAATTGAACGGGT